AAAGAAAGAAAGAAAGAAAGAAAGAAAGAAAGAAAGAAAGAAAGAAAGAAAGAAAGAAAGAAAGGAAGGAAGGAAGGAAGGAAGGAAGGAAGGAAGGAAGGAAGGAAGGAAGGAAGGAAGGAAAAGGAAGAAAGGAAAGAGAGAGAGAAAGAAAACAAAGAGAGAAAAGGAAAGAGCGATGAAACCCAGGGCCTCACATGTGCTAAGCAAGTGCTTTTACCACTGAGCTATACCTTTGGTCTTTGTATTTTTAAATGGTTAAAAAAAAACACAAAGGAAGAATATTTCACAATATATGAAAAATATGTGAAATTCACATTTCAGTATCAGATTTACTGACATACTCTCAGTTTATTCCTTTTTTTTAACTCTCATTTTATTCTCTTTGGCAGCTTTCTCAACAACAATGGCACAGTTGAGAAGCTGTCAGAAACTGACTGCATGGCTCTCAAGTTCTAACATAGGTACCACATGGCCCTTTCTAGAAAAGGCTTGCTGACCATGAGCTATATTTTAAAAGCATTTAAACTCTATACAGTCAAAAAAAATCACAAACATTTCTGCAAGACTAACAGCTTATACATTATTCTCAAATGAATCTCCCTAAAACACAGCTCAAACAATGCTCCTATCTAACCAAAAACTTTTTAGCATACCCTGCCTATGAAGTCTGAAATTCTTAACAGTTCCATGTAGGTCAGGTCTCAACCTTCCATTCCAATATTATTTCCCAAACCTCCCTTTTTGTAGCTTATATCTCAGATGGCCTGAATTATTTGTTATCCCTTTACCTTCTCTGTGCCATTCTTACTGTAAAATGCCTTGTCCTGAATACAATGTCATACTGTAAAATAAGCAGTGCTTTCAAAGTCAAATCTAGGTTCTGATTCGGACCCTTGACTTTATTATTTCAGAAGATACTTAACTCCTCTGAATTGCAGTTTTATCATTTATAGAAGGGGACTAATAATCCTTATCTCAGGCTGGCAATGTAGCCCAGTGGTAGAGAGCTTGCCTCATTATGTGTAAGGCCCTAGGTTTGATTCCCAGCACCACAAAAATATTAATAAATGACAAGATGAAATGTCTGTCACATGGAAACAGCTAAACAAGTGACAAGTGCATTAATTTTGCCCAACTCCAATGTTATCCTTTATTTTCCCCTATTCTCCCATTGGGAAATGAGCACTCCCAGTAATGTCACATACCATCACATCCTCCTTGCTCTTAGCCTCTGATCTGTACTTACTATCTTACAAAACAGTGATTTGTAGCCAAGTCTTTTTTTTTACCCCACCCCTAGCCATATCTTGTCTCCCCTACTAACCTAGGACATTCTTGAGGTCGGGATCTATCTGTGACTCACCATGCCTGTCTCACAGCCCTCTGAACAATGACTTGAGCACAGCACATGCCCAAGTACTTACTCAATAAATGGCATGTGTTTGCTGCATTATATATAATGCACATTAGGTGTCTCACATTGCCTGACCATATATATGTGGGACATCATTTATTCTGAACAATGCCTTGCCCCAGTGCTTAGCAAATTCAAGAAACATCAAGGACTGAAACTGCCAACACAAAAAAAGAACAGATAAGTGGGCAATGTAGTCACCTTTCAGAGTGATATTTTTATTTTCCATTCATTTGGGGACTTTTTTTTTTTAATACTGGGCTTTGAACCCAGGGCCTTTGCACTGAGCTATATCTCTAGCCCTTTAATTTTTTGAGACAGGATCTCAATAAATCATTAAATTGTCCAAGTTGGGCTCAAAATTGTATTTCTCCTGCCTCAATTTCCCAGACAGCTGGTATTACAGGCGTGCAACAACAAACCTGGCTCCATTAGTTTAAATTACAATCATCACATACTCCAAAAATTATAAATAGATCACATGTAATGGAGGATGAGGAAATGAACCACTTCCCCAAGGGAGACAGGTCGACTATCATTCATAATACCAATTACTTCTGCACAGAGCTGAGTAAATCTAAATGTTCAAACAGGGTCTACATTTAATGAGTTAATCTTCATGCATAGTTGTGACTCCAGCCTTATCTAGAGTTCTGTACAAAACCACAAAAGCAGGTTAAAATGTAGAAATCAAGTTCGACCTGCATTAACTTTAAGAAAAACTGCAGCTGATTTCTGTAGCATGGCAAGCCACATCTCATTGGTTCCTAGAAACAATCCCTACTTGATGGTCAAATTAATTTGTTAAATAAAAAGGTTTCAACCATTCTCCTGCCTTTGCCAGACTCCAGTTGCCAAGATGGATCCACACACGTGACTACAAAACTCATTACTGGGACACAGCAATGTAGGGAGATACATTTTCCAACAAGAAAAAAATTTTTTTAAAAAGCGGCTCTCCTCCAACTACTTGCTTATGCATTTCCTTTCAGAAAATCTTCTGAATATTGTATATTCATAAACAGATATATTAATGGCCCAAAGATGTATTATCAACAGTGTATATTTCTTAGCCATTTCCACACACAAAGAACTTCCAGAATCAATTAATTACTTTGAGTCTTACAATAACTGTGGGGTAGGTATAATTACCACCATTTTTATTTACACAGGGCCCTAATTTGACAAATGCACAACATTGTATAATAATCACTTTGGGGTAGTTAATATTTTCTTCTCCTTAAAAATTTTTTTAAATGTTTTAATTACTCCCATTTTACAGATGAAATAAGTGGTTTGTGTCAGATCTCAAGATGGGGAAGCTAAGACTGCCATCCAAATCTTCTAACTCCAATTCCAATGTTCTTTTTTACTTTCTCCTCCGCACAAAGACAGAGCACACCTTTGTTTTGCATCCACCCTATCTCTTCTCAAAAAGTGGCCCCACTGACAAGGGGGAAGGAAACAGAGTGGGAGTACTGTATAAACATTGCTGTGGTCCAGACAGTGGGAAACATCCCGCCTTTGCCTTCAACTACTCAAGTATTTATCTACACAACTTAAACAAAAGAAATGGAGAGGGGTTGCTGCTGGATTTTAATTCCTATCCATTCTATTTTTAGCTTTCTATGTATACTGCAAAACAGAAAAACTCATTTGGCCTAGCAAAACTTTGGATCTTTTGCCTATAGGCAAAGGTTTGGGCCTGCATGATTGCTGACTCCTTGCCTTTTTTAGTCTTAGGAAAGAAAAAATAAAAACTACTACAGTAATTGCCTGTAGCTTACAAAACATTTGCCCTTCCCCAAATTTTTTTTTTATCTTATTGAGTTTATTGGTACTTTTTAAGTGTACAGTACGGTTACATTCATCATTGGGATCTTGTACCCTTACATGACAGGTCTTGGTTCTCATTTTTTCCCCTTACCTCTGCCTTCCCAAAATGTCTCTCTCTCCCTTCTCTCTCTCTCTCTCTCTCTCTCTCTCTCTCTCTCTCTGATATGCCTTAGCTGCTCCTGTTTTTAGCACAAACACTTGCAGTTTACCATCTTCACCAAGGCACCTTCTTCCTAGAGCATATAATGAGCTTCATTCAACAGAGAATATAGTACCAAGCAGTTTGCTATAGAAAACAACAGCACCCAAACATTTCCCCTTCTCCTTCCAGTGAAGCCCTTTTGATTTCTGTGGCACAATCTATGTATCTTTAATGTCTCAAGAAACTCTTTTAAATGGAGACACACCCCAAAGCCTGGCCTTGTTATAAGTCTCTAAGGATCAGCATTTCAAATACCTCATATCTTCAAGGTGCTATCAGGCATTCATTCCCAATCTGGCCCCAACAGGAGGAACTATTAAAAGATCCAACTCAAATGACCTTCAGGAACCGGAACAACTTACAGATTCTGACCAAAAATGCACAGACAAAGTGTAAAAGAGAAGCACAAATTCCAGGGGGCAAATGGAAGAGCTGCACAACAAATACAATCTGGTAGCAATTACCATTGCACTGCAGCTCCCAAGGCTTTCTGTCTTAACCAAGTGCCCACAGTGAATCTAGACAATATTTTGGACATGAATCCACTCAAAACAAAGTTATAAGCATAAAAGGACATATTCACCAGTGACTATTTTTCACAATCATTTTTCAGCCAAAAGAAAAAATTAATTATGACTTCACTAAATCATTATCTTCCATTCTTTAGGGCATACATTTTGGCACAAAGGCTTGGCTTCACTCTCATCATATTAGTCCTCTTTTTACTCCAAGCCTCCCACCAACCAGCAGAAATAAACTTCCACATAAAGAGGGAGAAGGAAGGACAGTCCTGCAGCTGCAGCTGCCATAACCACTGGAAAAGCCACACTGGGTAAGGTTGTTTCAATGCAATGGCCATCAACCTTAGCCCTCTATCTTACCCTCTAGGGACTGGCTCCTTATGACAAGGGAGTAGGCAAGTCTTTGTTCCACACTCAAGCAGAATTCAGTGGCAAGTGAAACCAACCCATAATTCTGGTTTGGACTGACCTTGACCTAAGCCATAGCTCAATAGGTTAAAGAAAAATAATCACTGGAACAAAAAGGCTTTCCTTAGAAAATAATTGGTCATGGGGAATATTTTACTATCCCTATATCTGTAGTAACCAGAGGTTAGCACAAAGTCATTACTCAAGTTTGCGGCCTTAATTCCCAAATATTTAGGAGGTGCCGGGGCAGTTCCTTGGTCCACTTAAATTTCATCTTGTCCCAGCCACCGGTGCTGAACATGTTTAACACTCCAGGTAGACTGTCCTTTGTGAACAACCACGTACTAAGTAAAGGTTAATTGCTGAGCAAAAGGGTCGCAGGCACAGTTAGGGATCATGTCTTCAAAGGTCAAGGCCATTAAAGGGAAAGCTCCAAAGTTCTGGCTGAATCCACTACTTTCCACATCTACTAACCCCACTACTGAACAATCAGAAACCCATTAGCCTGGGAGACCTGGGCTGAGAACTACACCATATCTTCCCTTCCCCCTGTGCTGTGGAAAGGCTGAAAGAACCACCGGCTCCAGAAAACAGTTCCCGAAAGCCTTCCACTTACTTCTCATAGCACTGATAAGCGCATTGCCGTCTTTGATCACGTCTTTGATGAATTTATTGGTCCTCTCAAGCTCCTGCTCATAACACTTGAGCCTCTCACGGAAATCGGGGCTGTCCAGGTAGCAGTCGCTGAACTCCAGCGGGGGATGCCCCATGTTTCTGATGGCAGGGAGGTTGGGAGAGAGAGGAAAGACACAAAGGCCAACAGCATCAGTGGCACACCAGGGGAAATAAAGGAGGTTGACTGAGCGCGGGATCGCTTAAGGTCGCTTTCAGTCTCTCTCCCTTTGGAGGACAGGTACCTGTTCCAGTGAGACTCCTGGGGAGCGCCGGCTGGTGCGGGCGAGGAACGCGCGGCCTAGTGGTGGCTTCAGGTGGCAGGGATGGCTCACTAAAACAGTCCGAATCCCAGTGGGATACAGCCTAGGAAGCAGCACGCCTCCTAGCCATCGCCTCTTCCGATAGGCAGCAGAAACCACAGCCCAGCTCGCCTCCGGAGACGGGCGGGATTCTTCCTGGGCTCTGGGAAACGTGACACTTGGGCCCGCCCAGGGTGTAGGCGGGGGTGAATCCTGGGGTGGGGAACCGCCTCTCCACGCTTCCAGCTCTGGAGCTAGCTAAAGATTTCCTCGGCTGAACTCGGCGGGCCACCCGGATTGCGCTGTCCCCTCCCCCTTCGTAAAGCCAGCCCCTCCAGCCCGCCCAGGCGGAGCCCGAACGCCAAGCCTGAGCCCCCGGGTTCCCCCTTCAGTTATCGTCCTTGTACCTCAGGGCTTCTTTACCACAGCCAGGCGGCTTTCTGGGACTTCTGCCCAGTCCGAGGGAGCCGCCCTCCTGTCGGGTTAGGCAGCGAAAGGGTTAAGTCCGAGCGGTAATGAAACGTAGCCTTCCTCCATGGGCACCGAAGCGGGAGGAGGAGGGCGACAGGGCGACGCACAATAGCTGAGGTAGCCCGGCGCTTCCCTACGGAAACCGGGGAGCAGTCAGCGCCCTAGGACTCCAGCTGGAAAGCGTGGCGGCCTGGGAGATGTAGTCTTTCTGTCTGCACGCCCCAGGACTCCTCCCTGTGGTCGCTCCACCACAGCACCGGCGCAGCTGCTCTCCCAGGTCGGAATTCCCTGCGGCCCAGGCTCCCGGGGAGCAGGTGTGCGGCCCCCGGGGTCTGCCAGGAAAATTTCTGCAGCTGGAGCAAGAACTACGGGAGAATGGGTGACGAGAGGCTTTCTCTCACTTCCATTATTTGGCTGGGTTGTATATTCTTTTTCCTTCCACTTTCTAACTTTTCTCTGACCTACCAACTTAGTTTCCTCTTTCCTGTTTCTCCTGGCTCAAGGCTCAAATTCCCAAGGGCCTATTCTATGACTCTTAGACTCCTCTAGGATTTCACTGTCGGCCCAGAACACCTTGCCAAAAAGTCGGCCTTAATTAGGAATTAACTTTTTACCTTACTAGATCATCAGAGCATGGTTGTAGAGATGCAAATCATTGCATAGGCTGATGATTAAAGCATATGATTTTCCACGTGTAATTGGAAAACCTAAAGTAGGGGTATTATCAGCTGTCTTGCAGTTTACCCAAGAGGCCATCATTGTCCACTGTAGAACAGAAACTGATTCTAAAGGCACTGTTCTCAGTCACTACATGTTAAGACAGAACGAAGGGTCCAATAAAGAAACATTTTCTAAACGTTTGAGAAGTAGCCACATTCAAGGGAAGGGATTTCCGACCTTATGCACACCTGCTGAGAATAAACCCAAGGCCTCGGTATGCTTGGCAAGTGCTCTATCACTAAGCCACATCCCCTGCTGTATTGCCTACTTTTTTGTTGTTGTTTTATTTTGTTTTTTGAGACAGGGTCTCACTGTATAGTTGAGACTAACCTGGAATTCACTACGAAGCCCAGGCTGGTCTTGAATTTACAGCAATCCTCCTGCCTCAGCCTCCCGAGTGCTGGAATTACAGGCATGTGCCACCACGCCCGGCAAGTATTGCCTACTTTTTATCCTAAAGGTTAATTTATGGGAAAATGTCCAAAACGGGCTTTAACTGCACCATAGTGGAGAAGTGCAGGTAAGGCACCCAATGCATGGTATGATCTTTAATTCCAGAACTTTCCTTTTAGTGTTCATTCATTCATTTTATAAGCATTGTTGAGTGGCTGTTGTCTGCTTTGACTTGAAGAGCTTATAAAATTTTCATCAATGTGAAAATCACCACTGACAGTAATTATGAGAGGTACAATCATGCTCATCTAATTTCTGTACGAAATAATTTTTTTCATCTATGTGTCTAGACCATCCTTAGTCTAGAGAATGAAACTAAAACAGAGAACAACAAATGCCCTGGACTAAATACCAAAGAAGAAAGAGGGTTAAAATTAGGACTCAGTCCTTCAGACAATAGTTGCCAAAATTGACCACTGATCCTGGATTCTTTGCACACTTTATCCTTAACCCTTACAATAATAACTCTTACAATAACCCAAATAACTTTTTTTGTCACAGTGAGGACTGAATCCAGGGTCTTTGTACTTAGTTACATCCCCAGCCTTTTTCATTTCTTTATTTTCAGACAGGGTCTCACTAAATTGTGGAGGCTGGCCTTGAACTTGTGATCCTCCTGTCCTAGCCTACAAGCTGGAAAAACAGGTGTGTGCCACCACACCCAGCAGGGTCTTCAAATTTTTATTTACATAACCCCTAACAGAATTTTGAGAAGCTATGTACTTCACACATTTTGACATGGACATCTAAATTTTTCATCATGGTGAAACAGATGCAAAAGGTTTAATTTCTAGCATACTGTAAACATTGATTTTTAAAATAAAAGTTATCACCCTTTTAAAGATATTTTAATTTGGTGTGAGAAACTGAAAGTGTAAATAAGGAAGAAAAGGTATATTAGATAATGTGAAATACGAAGAAAAGGTGCACAGGAGAAGGGGAAGTGGGAGGGGTAGGAGAAAAGAAAGAAGGGAATGGAATTAATGAGAAAAAGAAAAAAATGGAAAAAGTCCTTGTAGAAAAGGAAGGGTGGAGGTGTTGAAGGGACGGCAGGGGAATGGGGAAAAAATAAGAACCAAAATGGATTATGTAAAAGTGCAAATTTCCAATGATGAATGTCATTAAACTGTATACCTTAAATGTACGAATAAAATTAATTTTTAAAAGATATTTAATTTGAAGCCCACCATCAAACACTTAAAGTAAAATAAAATATAAACACTACACCATCAAAAATGTATATTGTTCTGACTGGGCGTGGTGGCACATGCTTGTAATCCCTGCACTAGGGAGGCTGAGGCAGGAAGATCACTGTGAGTTCGACACCAGCCTGGGCTACATAGTGAATTCTAGGTCAGTCTCAACTATGCAGTGAGACCCTGTCTCAAAAAAACCAAAAAAAAAAAATGTATATTGTTCTTTTTTTCTCCTTGAAATCAAACATCCTTTACATTCTCCCAACAAAATTTTATGCCACTGAAATGTATTTTATATTCAAAATTCTACTATTGATTATCATATTGAATTTCTCTGCAACAAAAATATGCCCACAAATGTAAAGTAAATTATTTTCATTTCCTTTTGGCTGTAAGGCTCCAAATATAGAAAGGACTTCTAAACTGAATTATAAATTGAATATGCATATAAAATAGATTAAAATATATAATGAATAAAATAGATTAAAATAGATATTGTGGTGATTATTATTAAATACAGAAATGTACTGGAAATGCATCTTCTTGTGGGATGAAGAAAGATTAGGTTACAGGACCTCGAGTTAATGTTTCTGGACATCAGTATGTGAAATTGCCATTTTGAACAAAACCTTAGTGACATGGGAGCTAGCACAAAGAATCAACAACTGGGATCTCATCTTACTAAAAAGCTTCTTCACATCAAGAGAAACCAACAGAGTGAAGAGACAACCCACAACGTGGGAAAAAAATTTTTTACCAAGCTGTTCCTCAGACAAAGAACTAATATCTGGAACATATAAAGAACTGAAAAAATGAGCCCACCTCATTTTAAAGACCCAATCCAATTCTCAGATAAAGAAATAAAAATGGCAAATAAGTACATGGAAAAAATGTTCAACATCACTGGTCATTTGGGAGATGCAAATTAAAACAATGCTGAGATTCCACCTCATCCCAGAAAGAATGGCTGCATCATAAAATGAGCCAATAACAAATGCTAGTGGGGCTGTGGGGAGAAAGGAACCCTTCTCTACTGTTGGTGGGAGTGCAGACTGGTGCAACCACTGTGGAAATCAGTGTGGCAATTCCTCAAAGAACTAGGATTAGAAGTCCCATTGACCCAGCTATTCCCCCGCTGGGTGTCATCCCAAAAGAATTAAAAGCATCATACCACAGCAATATACCACATTCATGTTTATAACGGCACAGTTTTTAATAGCTAAATCTCAGAAACAACCCAAATACCCATCAACTGGTGGCTGGATAAAGAAGGTGTTATATATATATGTGTATATA